TATTTAAATTATGAAAGAATGCTATGAAATGAATGTTCATACTTAAACACGCATACATACATGTGCTAATGACCAAATGGAAATATTGAGATGGTAACAAACACCTGCCGAAAAAACAACCAAAAACATCAAACGTCAAGGCAAAACAGTTATTTTCATTTTTACACCAGTGTTTTTTTTTTTTTTGTGCACCATCACTTTCACCCAAACTCAAAAGCACTTTGGCTAACAGTAAGCAGTACAGTGGGTTATAGTTGGACAGCTTTTGTAAAACTGTTCAAACTTATATTTTTTTTTTTTTATTAAAGAAAACATAAAAATAAAAATTTGCCACATTCACTTTTGTCAAGTGTCTGGCCAAGCTTCTCCACTAATTTGTGATGTTCGTCCTGATGTTATACTACAAATGGAGGGACCTGCTATTTTATGCCGCCTCTGATAGGCAAATGGTTTTATGAGAAGTCTTTTTAAGGGAGAATTACACTCACAGGTTTGACAATGACAACCAAGAGAGAACGCTATTAGAAAAAAAAACTTTTTCATTTCGCTGGGCAAGGAGAATTCTTAGTCTAAAAACATAGTGGAGCGGCGAGCAAAGAGCATCAAGCCAGGTGTCGATTTCAAACGCATATTTTTCAATGGGGGAGCGCATAGTGGAGAGCAAAGCGTACATACACGTTTGAAATTGAAGCTTTGCTCAATTCTCTTTGCTTTGCTCGCCGCTCCAATATGTTATTCTGTTCTATATCCGCTTCGTACGTCACTAACATCCATGATATTTACGTTAACTTCGTATTTCGCTTTCTAAATGAATAAAACCAAGAAAATAGGCTTTTAAATTTTCCCTCATTTTAATTTGTAAACAAAACACTATGCAACACTCGAAGCGCCTTCACGTATGCAACGAATTCATAGCCATGTGTATGTGAACGTTTTTGTCACTGATACATATGCACACACATATATTGTGTAGTATGTACCCTGCAGCAAAATTTAGGGACAGTCTGACAAAGCGCTAGTTTCG